TGAGGTGGGGGGCAAGAGGGGGGCTTGGCGGCAGAACGGAGGCAGGGACAGAAGGTGCCAGTGGGCTGCTGGAGCAGCCTCCTCTACAGCACTTCATGCTGCTGCTGGGTCGCCTCGCTCACCACCTGCCAGAAGAGAAGCACCATGAGATGCCATGCCAGCCCAGCACTGGAGCCCCAGGCTGGGGACAGACACTGTTCTCAGCTCCCCTCCAACCTCCTCACCACCCGCCACTGCCACCCTGCACTCACCTCTCCGTCACGGGTTTCAATGGTTTTGATCATCACGGTCTTCTTGGTGTGCACCTCAGAGCCACGCTGCTCTGGGCTGGTCTCTGCAGGTGGGAGGACACAAGGGTTGGGACCATGGGGACGTGTGGCATGGGGATATGGGGCAGGGGGGCTGGGCCCACTTGGGGCCTCCAAGAGCCCTGGTTTAATCCCCTCTCAGCTCATGACGACACCCAACTGAGTGCTCACACCAGGGGCTCAGTGTGGCACCCATGGGTTCACAACCTGCCAGCCTGCCTGCAATCCCCTCAGAAGGAAGATTCACCCCCACACTGGGGACCTCCAGGGACACATCCCAGGTCCCCCTCCTCATGGGGTGATGCTCACCTCGGAAATTGAGTGCAGAGGCGAAGGTCTGGTGCATGGGGATGCTGATCCTGCAGGGACACAGAGGGGAGAGCTCAGCACCAGCCAGCCCCAGCCCTCAGGTAGCTGCTCATGGGATGGGAGCCCAAAAAAACAGCTGACCCTGCTGGCTCCCCCATCTTGTCCTTCCCCCCACCACTCACCGGCTCTCCTCTCCTTCCAGCAGCTTGCGATATGTGGCAATCTCCACGTCCAGAGCCATCTTGACATTGAGCAGATCCTGGTACTCCCGCAGATGCCGGGCCATCTCATCCTTCAGGTGCCGAATCTCCTCCTCCAGCCGGGCAATGGTGTCCTGGTACCCACCAGCCTCCCCTGCAAAGCGCTCCTCCATCTCCCGCATCTGGCGCATCAGTGAGTCGTTCTGGGGGGACAGGGGAGCTCAGCAACATGGGGGTACCCAGAGTGGTCAGGGGTCACCTGAAATGGGAGCTGGGGATGCCAGGGGGCCCTAGGGGAGAGCAAAGGACCTGGAGAGAGCCATGGGCAGCTCTGGACTGGGTCCAGCTGACGTGGAACAGCGATGGGTGGCAATCACCCTCTGTCTGCCCAGCGCTGGCTAGAAGGGTCTGGCAGGTGGGCAAGCTGGGTGACCCAGCACCTTCTGCCCCGCTGCCCAAGCCCCCCAGCAAAGCCACCCTACCCCAGAGGGAGAAGAGCAGAGACATGCAGGAGCACAGCACAGCAGCCCAGGGGGGGCACTGCCACACTGGTGGCTGCTGGCTGGATCCTGTGACTGTGACTGTGCCAGCACCAGACTGTTGTGCCCTGTTTGTTTGCAGCCACCTTCCCAGCCTGCAACAAGACACTCTGATCCCTGTACCCGCCTGCCTGGAGCCTGCCAGCCTAGACACCTTTTGTAGCCTGTGTCTTGACCCCGAGGCTCTGCCAAAACACCTCACAGGGGTCTAGACTGCTGCTGGGGAAAGCACAGCCCAAATCCGAGGGATGAGTCCCCATATGACAGCAACTCAGAGAGCAGGGAAGAGTACCCCACTCCAGAGATGCCCCAGAGGTTCACAAGCAGCCCCAGAGCAGTCCCTACAGGGAAGCTGGGGGTCTTCCCAATGCTGCCCATTGCTCACCGTGCCCTTGAGGGCATCGATCTCACAGGTGTAGGACTGGATCTGGTGCCGGTACTCCAGCATCTCCTGTTTCGCCTGCCGCAGCGCATCATTGTTCTTGTTGGCTGCCTGTGTCAGGTCAGACACCTGGGGAGAAACAGGGATCAGTGGGCATGGCACCAGGATGCACAGGACCTGCCATGTGGGAGCAGACTCGATCTTGCAGCCTCTCACACCTTGGACTTGTACCACTCCTCAGCCTCGGCGATGTTCTTGGCAGCGATGCTCTCATACTGGGCGCGGATGTCCCGCAGTGCTGCCGTCAGGTCTGGCTTGGAGATATCCATCTCCACCTGGATGTGCTGCTCCTGCAGCTGAGCCTGTAGCTCCCGGATTTCCTGGGGGGACAAAGTGACACCTCAGGGCATGCTCCGTCCCCCGGGCACCTAACACTCTGTCCCCTAGCCCCACAGGTGCTGTGAAAAGAGGACTTCCCTTGGCCTACCTCTTCGTGCACCTTCTTGAGGAAGGCAATCTCCTCCTGCAGGGACTCAATGCGTCTTTCCAGGTCAATGCGTGCCAGTGTGGCTGCGTCCACGTCCTGGGGGGACATGGGGAGCAAGGGTTAAGAGGGGTGGTGGGGCAGGGGGAGGACTGGGACTACACACCAGCACTAGAGGTTGCAAAGCTGTGCCTAGGGCCATGTCCCGGTCCTGGGGCCAGGCTGCCGGGATGAGACGGAGGTGGGAGGGGAGGTGGGGGTCCCGCACCACAGGGAGAGGGTGAGTACTCACAGCTCTGAAAGCAGCCAGGTTGTTCTCAGCCTCCTCCTTCAGCTGGATCTCTTCTTGCAGCCTGGGGACAGAGAGGTCAGGAGTACGCAGAGGGAGCCCTTTTCCCCAGTGGTGATGTCCCCCAGAGCTCCCCCCGAGCCCTTCGTGGCCCGGTAGAAAGACATGGGATTGTCCTGCACTCCCAGCGGCCAGCGGGAGGGCTGGCGGGGAGCCAGGAGCTCTTCCTCCCGTTTCCTATTATAGTCAACGGCGGAGAAGAGTACAAAGGCATGAGGTCAGCTCGGTGCCATTCGCGCTGCCCCAGCCCTTATAGGGGAGAGTGGCCGGCGAGCGGGAGGACAGGCGGGTCTCAGCGGTGCTGTGGGACGGGGGTAGGGAGGGGGCACTGCCGGGGTGTGAGCCCGGGGGGCCGGGCTGAGCCCGGGCAGGGAGCAGTGCCGCAGGCTGCTGGTCACGGGGAGGGCAGAGGGCAGGACTCGGAGGTTCCCTGGGTGGTGCTGGCACAGGGGGTGGCAGGAAATCCACCACCTGTTCTATGCGCTGCTCCTCCCTTGACATTCAGGGGTTGTCCATGCTGCCACCCCCAGACTCTCAGCATCAGAAGCTCTGTCCCACAGGAGCCTCACCAGCACCCCACTGGGGCTGTGGGGGCGTGGGGAGGCAGCTGGCTGTGTCACCCCCAGGAGACTAAGGACTCAGTGTCCCCACGGGACAGGGGACAGAAGGGAAGGCACAGACCAGAGCAAGGGGCTCCCCTCGAGCATCTACCACTGCTGCCAGGTACTCCCACACTGGGGGGGTCACTCAGCCTGGCCATCCTTGTGGCTATTCCTTGCTGGTCCCAGCCGTAGCACCAGCACCAGCAAGGCCCACAGCATACTTGGGGGTCCCTGCTTCTCACAAGAGCACTACAGATGCCCACAGCAAGCCTGGAACACCCCTGGCCTGCAGAAGTGTGGCTGCTTCCTCCCTTCCCTCCTTCACCCCCAGAGCTGTCGAAGCACCCCCCTCCCCGGGTCATCCTCCTCCCCCTCGCTTCCGCCTGCCTCACTGACTCAGTCAGTCTGTCTGTCTGTCCTCAAGGGCTCAGCAAACCCGTGACCTCACCAGCTATTCCTGATGTGAGCAGGGAGGAGGATGCTGGGGGGGACACTCTGATCCCTCAGTACTGGGGGTCCTGTGGCATCACAGCCCTGCCTTGGCCCCACTGCAAGGAACGGCACATAGGACACCCCTCCTGTCCTGCCCACTGGGTGCTCCCCAGGTGCCTGGTGAAGGCTGGCTGTGGCTATCCAGAGTGCCCTGAGGAGATTCCCAGGCTGTGGACTCCTCACTCACCTGGCCCCACCCCTCTGGGCCAGCTACCCCCTGCCTGCCCCATGCCATGGGCTGGGGAGCACCCAGCACTGATGTAGCAGGCTGTGGGTGCCCTTCTCCCTCCCAAAACTTGTAGCTACTATGCTAGGACCTAGCACCTGGCAAAACACCCTTCAGGCAGAGGCAGCCAGCAAGAGGCATGGCCTGGGTGCTCTCCTGGGTGCCCAGGGGACAGAGTGAGGGGGACAGAGGACTAGAGCCACAATAGGGTCCATGCCTTGGGGCACAAGCATGGCAGTGAGCACCTGAGGGGCTGCTGGGGAGACCTCTGCCGTCATCCATCCCGAGAGATGGAGATGCAGGGATGGACACCCACAGGAACACACCAGAGGAGCCCTTCCTCACCTCTGCTTGAGCTTCTGCAGGTCGTCGAGCAGGTTGTCACGCTCAACCTCAACACGGGCCCGCTGGCTGGTGAGCAGGTCCACCTGGCGCCGGAGCTCCCGCAGCTCCTCCTCGTACATCTCAGCCACGCGCGTGGGCTCCTTGCCCCGCAGCCGGTTGACCTCGGCCACCATGAGGGCATTCTGCTGCTCCAAGAAGCGCACCTTCTCGATGTAGTTAGCGAAGCGGTCGTTGAGCTCTTGCAGCTCCACCTTCTCGTTGGTGCGGGTCTGGAGGAACTCCTGGTTCATGGCATCAGCCGCGGGGAGGGCAGAGGGCAGGACTCGGAGGTTCCCTGGGTGGTGCTGGCACAGGGGGTGGCAGGAAATCCACCACCTGTTCTATGCGCTGCTCCTCCCTTGACATTCAGGGGTTGTCCATGCTGCCACCCCCAGACTCTCAGCATCAGAAGCTCTGTCCCACAGGAGCCTCACCAGCACCCCACTGGGGCTGTGGGGGCGTGGGGAGGCAGCTGGCTGTGTCACCCCCAGGAGACTAAGGACTCAGTGTCCCCACGGGACAGGGGACAGAAGGGAAGGCACAGACCAGAGCAAGGGGCTCCCCTCGAGCATCTACCACTGCTGCCAGGTACTCCCACACTGGGGGGGTCACTCAGCCTGGCCATCCTTGTGGCTATTCCTTGCTGGTCCCAGCCGTAGCACCAGCACCAGCAAGGCCCACAGCATACTTGGGGGTCCCTGCTTCTCACAAGAGCACTACAGATGCCCACAGCAAGCCTGGAACACCCCTGGCCTGCAGAAGTGTGGCTGCTTCCTCCCTTCCCTCCTTCACCCCCAGAGCTGTCGAAGCACCCCCCTCCCCGGGTCATCCTCCTCCCCCTCGCTTCCGCCTGCCTCACTGACTCAGTCAGTCTGTCTGTCTGTCCTCAAGGGCTCAGCAAACCCGTGACCTCACCAGCTATTCCTGATGTGAGCAGGGAGGAGGATGCTGGGGGGGACACTCTGATCCCTCAGTACTGGGGGTCCTGTGGCATCACAGCCCTGCCTTGGCCCCACTGCAAGGAACGGCACATAGGACACCCCTCCTGTCCTGCCCACTGGGTGCTCCCCAGGTGCCTGGTGAAGGCTGGCTGTGGCTATCCAGAGTGCCCTGAGGAGATTCCCAGGCTGTGGACTCCTCACTCACCTGGCCCCACCCCTCTGGGCCAGCTACCCCCTGCCTGCCCCATGCCATGGGCTGGGGAGCACCCAGCACTGATGTAGCAGGCTGTGGGTGCCCTTCTCCCTCCCAAAACTTGTAGCTACTATGCTAGGACCTAGCACCTGGCAAAACACCCTTCAGGCAGAGGCAGCCAGCAAGAGGCATGGCCTGGGTGCTCTCCTGGGTGCCCAGGGGACAGAGTGAGGGGGACAGAGGACTAGAGCCACAATAGGGTCCATGCCTTGGGGCACAAGCATGGCAGTGAGCACCTGAGGGGCTGCTGGGGAGACCTCTGCAGTCATCCATCCCGAGAGATGGAGATGCAGGGATGGACACCCACAGGAACACACCAGGGGGGCCCTTCCTCACCTCTGCTTGAGCTTCTGCAGGTCGTCGAGCAGGTTGTCACGCTCAACCTCAACACGGGCCCGCTGGCTGGTGAGCAGGTCCACCTGGCGCCGGAGCTCCCGCAGCTCCTCCTCGTACATCTCAGCCACGCGCGTGGGCTCCTTGCCCCGCAGCCGGTTGACCTCGGCCACCATGAGGGCATTCTGCTGCTCCAAGAAGCGCACCTTCTCGATGTAGTTAGCGAAGCGGTCGTTGAGCTCTTGCAGCTCCACCTTCTCGTTGGTGCGGGTCTGGAGGAACTCCTGGTTCATGGCATCAGCCAGGCTGAAGTCCAGCAGCTCCCCGGCACCTTGGTAAGCGCTTTGGTAGGAGCGCAGGGGCGTCACGCGGGTGGTGCGGAAGCTGGACAGGCTGGGAACGGCCGAGGTGCGGGACACCTGGTAGACACGGGAGGTGACAGAGCTGCCGCTGCTGCCCTTGCCCCCGAAGGAGGCGCGGGAG